CCCCCCCCCGCCACGTCCCAGCTGGCCGGGTATAAATCCGTGGCCCCAGTGCTGACCCACGGAGAGCCCTGAGCTCCAGTCTGGGTCTCCACGGTCATGGGACGGAGCTGCTGCTTCCTCCTGCTGCTGCTGCTCCTCCTGCCCCGGCCCGGGAGCTGCCTTCTCACTCCTGCAGTACCGCTACGAGTGTGGGGAGTATGGCATGCAGCTCCTGGCATACCCCACCCGCGGCCGCACCGTCCGCTTCAAAGTCATGGGTGAGTTAGGGAGCATGAGCCCCCTTCCCGGCTCTCCTTGGGGTTACCCTGAAATCTGAGTGCCCTTATGGGATGAGCCCAATGGCTCATCCATGCATGAGGGTTTGGTGCGGGGCCATGTTACCAGGGAGGGTTTCTGCACACCTGCCTCCTTGAGGAGCATCACGGCACCCGGTTGTGCCACCTCAGCCCACTCTTTACGCCCATGGCGTCCTCACAGATGAGTTCGGCACCCGCTTTGACGTGGCCAACTGCTCCATCTGCCTCCACTGGCTCAACACTGGGGTGGACGGCACCATCATCTTCTCCTCCGGCTATGAGGCCTGCCACGTCATGGTGAAGGTGAGGCCCCTCATCCCACCCCGGTCCCCTCAGCTCTGGTGGGCTGGGGGGTGACTGTCCCTCCTGCCACACCAGGAGGACCGCTATATCCTGAGAGTGCAGCTGGAGGAGCTGCTGCTCAGCGGGGTCCTGGCCGCCTCCCATGAAGTCAACATGACCTGCCCGCAGCCCACAGACTACGAGATCCTCGGGGACAGCAACATGCACATCGAGCACTGGGCTGGTGGTCGGGGCAACGGTGTCCACCAGGCCCAGTCTGATGTCCTTGTGCCCCTGTCCCAGCCTGGCCTCTTGCACCACGTGTCCCAGTCCTCCCTCACCATCCCGGGACCCCAGGTCTCTCCCCAAGCCCACTCAGAGCAGGTGCACCCCGTGGCTCAGACCCAGCCGGTCCTGGTGCACCCTGGGCTGCAGCCCCAGCCCCAGCCCAGCCTGGTGCATCCAGGGCTTCAGTCCCAGCCAGGCATGGGTCGTCCCCCTGCCCAAGCCCAGCAGGGTTTAATCCGTCCAGGCATGCAGCAGCCCGGGCTGGTGCACCCTGGAGCTCAAACCCAACCAGGGCTCCTTCGCCCAGGGATTCAGACCCAAAACCAGCCTGGGCTGGTGCACCATGGAGCTCAAACCCAACCAGGGCTCCTTCGCCCAGGGATTCAGACCCAAAACCAGCCTGGGCTGGTGCACCATGGAGCTCAAACCCAACCAGGGCTCCTTCGCCCAGGGATTCAGACCCAAAACCAGCCTGGGCTGGTGCACCATGGAGCTCAAACCCAACCAGGGCTCCTTCGCCCAGGGATTCAGACCCAAAACCAGCCTGGGCTGGTGCACCATGGAGCTCAAACCCAACCAGGGCTCCTTCGCCCAGGGATTCAGACCCAAAACCAGCCTGGGCTGGTGCACCATGGAGCTCAAACCCAACCAGGGCTCCTTCGCCCAGGGATTCAGACCCAAAACCAGCCTGGGCTGGTGCACCATGGAGCTCAAACCCAACCAGGGCTCCTTCGCCCAGGGATTCAGACCCAAAACCAGCCTGGGCTGGTGCACCATGGAGCTCAAACCCAAAACCAGCCTGGGCTGGTGCATCCTGGAGCTCAAACCCAACCAGGTCTGCTTCGTCCAGGGCTGGTGCACCCCGGTGTCCAGTCTGGCTTAATGCACAGTGGTGCTCAGACTCAAGCAGGCTTGGTACGCCCAGGAGCTCAGCCCCAAAGCCAGCCAGGCTTAGCTCGCCCTGGCCTTCAGACCCATTCCCAAACTGGTCATCTCCACTCTGGCCTCCAGAACCAAGCTGGGCTGCCTCACCCTGGCTCCCAGTCCCAGTCCCAGCCAGGCTTGGTGCGCCCAGCTCTCCAGAGCCAAGCCGGGCTGGTACAACCCAGCAATCCCCGACTGAGTCTGGCGCAGCCGGGGCTCCAGTCCCGACCAGGTTTGCTACGCCCTGGCCTTCAGGCTCAGCCCCAGCCGGGTTTGGTGCGTCCAGGACTGCAGCCTCAAGCCCAGCCGGGCTTGCTGCGTCCTGGGCTCCAGTCCCAGCCCAGCCTGCTGCAGTCCACAGCTCTCTTCTACCCCTCGGCAGGGGCAGGTAAGCCAACACGGTGAGACAAAGGGACGCAACCGGGGCTGGGTTCTCCCTGTCCCTGGAGCAGCAGGTCACAACCAGGAGGGGATGCTCGAGGGGCACAGGGGGATACTTTGGCAGGGGAATATGGGGGTGGGCAGGTCAGGGGGATGCTGAGCGCAGTGTCCTCTCTGTGCCACCCCAGGCACACAGCTGACACGGGAGCAGTGCCAGGTGGCAGTGGGGAAGCTGGCCTGTGTGGCCCCGCAGGGCCAGGAGGGGTGCCTGCAAGCAGGCTGCTGCTACGATGACATGGACCGCGTCACTCCCTGCTATTACGGCAACACAGGTAAGACTCTCGGGGTGGGTCCCCAGGAGAAGGGGGTTTTGCAGGTCCCTGTTGCTCAGGGGTTGGCCCCTCGTGCCCCTTGTGTCACAGCCACCGTGCAGTGCCTGCTGGAGGGACACTTTGTGCTGGTGGTGCCACGGGGCCTGGCCACCCAGCCCTACAACCTGGACAGCGGCGGCCTCGCCAGCAGCCAGCCCGGCTGCGAGCCCGTCCGGGTGACCGAGGCCTTCGCCATGTTCCGCTTCCCCGTCACGCAGTGCGGCACCACCGTCCAGGTTGACATGGGCCCCCCCTTCCTCCCACACACCCCCCAGTGCAGGTGGGAACCCTGACCCCAGTGTGTGTGTCGGCCCCAGGTGATCGATGACCAGTTGATCTATGAGAACCAGCTGATCTCCACCATCGATGTCCAGGGGTCCCGCCGCGGCTCCATCACACGGCACAGCACCA